CAACATCATATAAGCAAAAATGGTCCTTCACACATCAAGTAAGTTAATCATGCAAATTAAATCAATTATATCATCCTTTTTTAGTGAACCGATATCAAAATGTGTTGCTATCCTACCAAATTAAAATCATGGCATAGCCTTACCCTCAAACTAGCATACGGATATAGTGCCAATCATCAAGATATTGAATGAACCTTGTTATTCAATCAACATTATTTTTTTATTTAATTGATTTCATTTTTTTTTTCTTTCACCTTTGGTGATTTTTTTTTTTTTTTTTTTAATTTTTGTTCCTCACCTTTGGTGAGTGCCTTTATTTCTTTTCTTTGCAAGGTCATTTTATCAAGAATGAAAACTTTCAAAGCATACTAGCTCAATTGGGATAAATTAAGACAATAATCAACTAAGCATGTACCCCACAAATTGAATGCTAGTGTGCACAAGTGCAAGTGTAGAATTCAAGAATCAACTCTCAAAACATTTTCAACCAACAAGATGATGTGTACCACAAGAGCAAACATGATATCAAAAATTAAAATTTACCTCTAAATGACATCCTAGAGCATACAGGAAGTATTAGACTCTAACAGCTTACTTTTCAAAGGCACTATGCTTCAAAAGTTTGAAATAATTGTCAAATGCATCTCAAATCTCATCATGCAAACATGATATCAAAAATTAAAATTTACCCCTAAATGGCATCCTAGAGCATACAGGGAGTATTAGACTCTAACAACTTATTTTTCAAAGGCACTATACTTCAAAAGTTTGAAATCATTGCCAAATACATCTCAAATCTCATCATGCATTTAAAGCTCAATTTAAAATAGAATGAATTATGATGACCTTACCCCAAAACTTAAACTGCACATTATCCTCAATCTGCAAAGAGAACAATGAAAAATGATGGAAAGAGTATACCGTGGTGACAAAAGTTTATGAAACTCGGCAAGGATCCATTATAAAAGAGGTCGCCCCCAAACTTGGATTCAAAAACCTACTGAAAAAACTACACTAGCAACTCACATCAAATATCAAATGAGATAAGAATCATACATTCCAAAACAATATAGAACACGATGCAAAGAGGTATGAGATGAAGCCTTTCACTACAACAGTTATGGCTTTCACCAGCATTCAAAAACGCTGGTGAAAGTCTAAAAAAACGCTGGTAATTCAATTACCAGCGTTTTACCCGCGCTTTTGAAAATGCGCTAGTGATTCTAGTGTTGGTAGGCCTTTACTAGTGCTTCTTAAGCGTTGGTAAAGACCCTAGTGATTCCAGTGTTGGTAGGCCTTTATTAGCGCTTCTTAAGCGTTGGTAAAGACCCTTTACCATAAAAACCCTATACTAGCGCTTCTTAAAAAAGCACTGGTAAAAGGTCATTTTATGTTTTTCTTTTTTCTTTTTTTCCCTTTATTAATTTTGAAAAAATATCTTTACGGTTGCTAAATGTTTAAAAAGCACTGGTAAAAACCCTATACCAGCGCTTCTTAAAAAAGAGCTGGTAAAGGGGTTTTTTTTTCATTTATTGTTTTTGAAAAAATATCTTTATGGTTACTAAATGTCATCCAATATAACACAAATTGGTAATATAAAAATACCATCCAAATTGTTTTTACAGAATACAACCACAAGTTAACCTGCTGCCAATATGAAAAATACCATCGAAATTTTCTACTAATAGATAAAGCTTGTCAACCGAAACCCAAAAAATGTCAACAAAAAAGCCAAAATGTCAACTAATACAATCACAAGTTAACCTACCAATATGAAAATACGATCCAAATTGTCTAGATCTACTAAATGTCACACAAAAAGAATTAAGAATTTTTGACAAATGTAGTACAGGTTTTTCAAAAAGAACCCATCCAAGGCGAAGGAAATTCAGAAAGCACAGCCACGACCCCATATTCAGCTTCAACTTCAACAACTCTTCTTGCCCATTTGATTTGAATTACCCTACATTTTTTATAAATTCATTAAGCGCGCATTATAATAAATGAAAACTTAACATATAAGAGAAATTAAAGTTCATAACCTTAACTGAATTGGCATCATGACTAGAAAATGAATTTGGGGATACTCTAGGAGCATTTAAAGAATCAGAACCCTTCAAAATAACAAAACAAAATACATGAAATCTTGATATAAGTAAACGTATATTTAGTAAAGAGTAAAACTAATAATAAATATGCCAATTCACTACAATTTTGTTATTGCATCTGCATTAGCATAGCCACCTGTTGTTGTAAATTTTCCAACTTGTCATCATAGTTGGCTCGTAAATTTTCCAACTTGTCGTCATAGTCGGCTTGCATTTTTGAAATGGTCTCTTGCAACTCTACACGTGCAGCACGTGTCTCCTCATAAGATTTTTTTTGCATTAATCAATTCAGCTTTACTAGGAGAGGGCTCCCAAACATCGCTTGGTGTAGGCCCCAAGCCAAGCATCCACACATGACCAGTTCTCTCTTCTCCCCTCACAAGGGAGAACAAATCATTGGAACTACCAATAGGCGAGTCAGAGTAACTTTTTTGAAGACATTTTATGCTTTCTTGCACACACAACAAAAAATAATAATAATAATAATAATAACAATAATAATGAATGTATAGAAAATAAATTAAATAGAATGCTTCGTGTCCAACATTTCCAATTGTAAAATAAATTAACGATATCAGCTAGAAAATTCATACTGAAATTCATACTGAACTTTTGAAATAGGGTAGAATCTTAACATGATTTTGTTTCCTAAAGGAGAAACAAAGAAGCACAATAAACCAGGTAATTCTAACATTTATAATTTGAACACATGAAAAAGCATCTACTATACCACCCGTGGAAGTACCATATCCCCAGAGGCAGGATAGTTCAATCTTAAACTGTCCCAAAATGGACCATTTAGTCATCTATAACCATCTTGAGGCTGTCACTGACATGGACTAACTTTCACCTAGAACTTTTTCAATTTTTCATCTCAACCCTAAAGCTATCGCCATCACTGGCATTGATATTATACATATTTAAAGCAATTCAATCAAATATTACCACCTATGGAAGACGATGGAAATACAAACGCACCATATTTGTGCATATATAAGTTGTTTTGAGAACATGATTAGTTTAAACATTAATTACGTGAATACAATATTAAAATATCAACTGTTTGACAAGAGTCCGATTACTAATAGTAGATTACATTTTTCACATATGGATATCTTATCAACTTACCGCAAAAAGATTTCTTACCATCATTGTTTTCATCCTACCAAAATTAATATTAGTAACCTATAGCAATGTATGGTATTAATGCCTATGAGTTCATGTTTATCATTAAATTACACCTAAATATCTAGCCAAACCACTCATATTTTTTAGGCTTAATTACAATGACACCCCCTGAGGTTTACTATAATAACAAGTATATACAAGTTGGACTATTTTTAAACAATGACACCCCTCAGAATTTGATAAAGGTAACAAAGACACCCCAATGATGGCATGCCACATCTGAATTGACAAATTTACCCTTTGACTTATAAGTTGACCAAATTGAGTAATGAAATTACCTTTCTAACCTTTATCAATAAAATAAAATAAAATAAAGTAAATAAATAAAAACAAAAAACAAACAAACTATTTTCTTTCCTATCTCTCCAGTACAGTCTCTTAAAATCTCGCTAATTAGGGCAAAAAGTTCCTCCAATTAAGTATCCAAGCTGTTGCTTTCTTCCCCGCATAGACACCTGATGCAAATCCATGGAAATGGTCCGGATTCAGGAGTCAAAAATCCAACCTTTTCACTATGGGGGGTGGTTATATCAGGAAGCATCGACGTGATTACTGCAATTCAAATCAAAATCAATTCTAAAGATGATTATTAGAATTTGTAGTGGTAAAAGAAAAGAAGAGTAGGTATCATTAACCAGCTTTATAATGTTCTACAATAAAAATAACAAGAGTTTTATAGACTTGATTTAGTCTACTCCGGTATCTCAATTGTTTTCCTCTCGTTTTTTTTTTTTTTTTTTTTTTTTTTTTTTTTTTTTTTTTTTTTTTTTTTTAACTCCTAAAATAGAATAAAAGTTAGAAGCATCAGTAAAGATTGAAATGGTTGATGCGTAGATATACAATTCATTAAACATTGTCATTTGTTTTACAATTCATAATTGTAAAAAAAAAAATAATTACATTAAACCAAATCCAAAATGAAGCATAAAATTATGTATATAAGAAGTTTATATGAAACCAAGCAAAGAACCCTGTAGGCTTATAGAAAAAATGAATGTTGAAAAATTAGTTTTTATGATGAAACTATTTTGATGTTGCTTTTGGTGTTCGGACAGGGCGGACTTGTCGATACTTTCATGGATCTCATCTTCTGATAGCCCATGATCCTCTTATAGTCAAAAATCCAACCCTTCCATTTGTGGATTTCGATTGAAAAAATGTTAGGCCGGTTCCTCATGTGCCTAAGAACTAATCCGGCGAACCACCACCCACCTTTGTCACCATCCACCGCTGATGGAGCCGCCGTCGACGGCGACGGAGGGGGACACCACCAAGACAGACAAGTCGAATCGTTCTTCCCGCCGATCTCCGAAATCCGCAATGTGGAGCCAGTACCTGGAAGTAGATCGAGAACAAAAGTGAGGAAATCCGACAACTCGTCAGCAATCGGTAACGCAATCTCAGCGACTCCGCCGACTTTATCCGCCATCCTCCACTCCTACAGAAAGAAGGCGTCGGATGAAAGAAGACGAGAGAGGAGAGAGATTGGTGAGAATTTGATGGGTAAAAGTGTCATTTAAGAATTTAGAGCTTTTATAGTAAAATATTTAAGGGTAATATTGACATTTCACATCTTTTAAGGGATTGTTTGGGTCCATTTTTTGATAAAAGGGTGTCATTGTTTAAAAAAAAACTCAATTTGTATATAACTGTCATTATAACAAACTTCAGAAGATGTCATTATAACTAACCTTATTTTTTATATTCTCTTCTTCTTCTTTTTCTTTTTTTTTTTTTTTTTTTTTTTGACAAGTAAATTTTTTATTTACTTAAGTCCTTTTCCCTGACGAAGTAACACGCACTTTTAGTTAGTTACTAATTTGACCTCACTATAATTTTTTTTTTTCTTTTTTCTTTTTTTCCGGTTAGGTAAACACACATCCACAGATGCCCACTATGGGCTTGAACCCTATCCCACCAAGGCCAATGGCTGATCTCACTATGTTTATTTATAGCCACAGACATATTATCATTTACTAAAATATATATTTATTTGAGTTTTATTTTTTTAATCCATTTGATAATTTCCATATCTCTAGCAAGTGCTAGCGGCTACCTATGATACATGGACTCTAATATTAGAAAAGTATCAGTGTCCAGCACACATTACTCATTACTCGATCATGCATATGGGATACATTCTGACACTTTTGGTTGGACATGCACATAATCCTGTCCAATAATTCTTATATATATATATATATATATATATATATATATATATATATTATTGCTTCAAAATGAAAGAAATGCCAATATTACACACCACGTTACATAAAGACATTATTTCACGGAGAAACTATGGTAAAAATATTAAATACAATAATATAAATATTTTGCGGTGTCCATGTGTCTTCTTGTTTAGGGATTTGACAAATCCACTCGTTGATATATATACTTGCACCTTGACACATGTACCCGAGTCATGTAACATAGGTGGCTACTACTCTGATGAATACTTCTTTCTTTCATCTCAACCAACTACCATTCACTACCAAGTAAGGTTATTCAACCCAATTGAAACCTGTTATCCTACACAGTATCATTTTTCAAGTCAATCATGAATGTACGGTGCATGTAAACTCACCATCTACGGTTACCCAGCACCTGAACCACCCATCAAATCACTTTTTTGTATATTAATTATATATATATGTCTACTCACAGTACAGAAAATGTTATATAATTTCAAATACAGTTTGCTAGAATCTACAATACCAATGCACATGTTCAAATGATTTACAAACTCAATTAAATGATATTGTGATCTACTATATACTAACAACAAATCAAATCCAAATTTAAAGATAAGAATTTCCTTCACAAAAATAAACTCTAAAATGAGTATATCCTGTAAAGAAAATTGTTGCACTGAAATAAATTCGAACAGAATGTACAGGTTTATTTATTTAGAAAGTAAATCCTAGGTTAAGAATAATTTAATCAACTTACCTCTACTATTTCCATTGAAATTCCACAATTTATTTCTGGTCTCTTCCTTGATCTACTGTCCTCTCTCTCTCTCTCTCTCTCTCTCATGCGTTACAACTAGGGTTTCTTTAAATCATGAAAGAGTATTCTATAATATGAGATTAGGAAGATATTCTCGACATTTCACAAGTGCGTGAAACTACTGTGTGCCTGCCAATTAAAATTTTGATAGATTGACAAGTTTATCGGTTTATTACAATTTTACCCTCTTAAAAAGAAAATTTTGTCCTCGAACTTGACGATCCTGAAGAACTTCAAGTCATAAATACTAGAGGCATTTCAAATGTTTATATCTTAAACATTCAGCATTAAAATCAATAGGTCTATCTTTCAGTTTCCTAAAGCAATTTCTTAAGTCACATATATCTTTCAAGTTTCAACTCACTCTCTCTTCTTTGTTTTTTTCTCCTGCTTTTCTGCTTCAAGTTTCATATCAACCAACATTACATTTTTTTTTTTTTCCCTATTAAGATTTTAGAAATAACCATAACAACAGTGAGAAACTTTCCTCTTTAAAAAATTATTAATTCATTAAACTATGTCATTATCAATAGAAATTTAATTTAAATTTCCTGTTCACCTGACTTCTATAAATTTACTCTCAGTAAACTTAAATTACTCTCAATCAACATATATTAACACCTCTTTTGTCGAATTCACAAGCATACTTGAAGCAGTAAATAGATTATGTGACACCAAAACTTCCATAGAGGGCATTACTTGGATTTATTTATTAATTTACTTTTATTATTGTTTTTCTTTTTGTTTCAATACAACATAAAGGACTAAATTTTTTAGTTATATTCCACTTGATACTAAGCAGCTGAATTGCCGGTACAAGTTTATATTCCATTTGATACTATTTATAAGTATCACATAAATAATTGAATGTACTAAATTGATACTAACAAGCTATGGAACAAAAATGACTAAGCAACATAACACAATACCCAAAATCATCTATAAGTACTAAAAAAATCAAGCAAGCACTCAAATGAAAATACTAGAAATATCCCTGACAAGATGTCCCTGTGCCTATGCCTGATATAGGTGCAAAAGACCTCACGATCCCCATCAAAAACGTTAACATTACAGTAAGCAGAATCTAATAGAAGCAATTAAGGAAAAGGTTAAACAAAGAGAAAAAAGGAACAGAGAAATAGAGAGAGAGAATACAATTTAATTGCCCAAATTCTGTTGAAATGAATAATTCTTATTCAAGAAAATAAACAAAACAAAGAGAGATAGAAAGAGAACCGGTTTGGGGGGGGGGGGGGGGGTAGGGGGAGGGAGGGAAGAGTCTTATTTGTTCAAAATAGCAAATAATAGGCGGTAGCTTTCTTTGTCGTTTGTTTTGAAAACAGAAAGAAAAATAAAAATTCAAGAAGAATAGAACAAAATAGAGGAAATTTATTGTGTATTCGATTTCTTGGTCTTTATGTGTGCATATAAGAACAGATCCATATACTTATATACTTACAGGGTCGGGAATGGGTTGTTACTTCTACTGTCGGGACAGGGATGGGATTGAGGTTATAAGGGACTATATATTCAGGATGGGGTAGGCTTCAGAAAACCTGTGCCGAACCCACCCATTGCCATCCCTGTAACACTCACCATCTCTTACGTACCAACATTTGTTTAAATTCTCACATCTAGATATCGAGCTAATTCCTGTAGATACACACACCACACAAACACACACATCTATATAATCTAATAATTCAAATAACTGCAATGGTATTTATTGAACATTAGATTTACTAAGATCTTCAATTTCATAACTAAATGTAAGAAATGTACAATATATGACCATGACAATGAATGCACATAAATCAAAATGAAACGCACAAGCACATATATAACATGATTGATATGGTAATACCTTTTTTTTTTTCTTTTTTAGGATTAGTAAATATGCTTGAGAAAGAGTTCAAAAGGGGAATTCATTCCAAGAACTAAACAACGGCCAAAGCCAAGAAAAGCCCTAAGACCCCAAGGAACCCAAAAAATCGACCATCTCCTCTTACAGATTTACAACTTCTCCCAATAGCCCACAAAAAAGATAACAATAAGAAATTTTGGAGTCCCCAATAGAAGATTCTTCTCCATCAAAAGATCTTCCATTCCGCTCCAGCCAAACACACCACCAAATACATAACTAAATGTAAGAAATGGGACACTAGCCCAATGGTATAACCTCCGAGGAGGGGTTCAAGCCCTAGCGTGAGCAATGTGTGTGTGAGTACATACCTGATCAAAGAATAAAAAGTAATTAAAATATCCATATATAGACCTTTTTTCCATTTCCCAGATCCAACCTGAAGTTGTCACCGGCATTGATATGCATAGCAAAACTGATTTAACCAAATAATATCACCTACAGAATAGGGTGGAAATGCTATAAGTCATTTTGAGAACATGATCAATTCAATCATTAATTACCAGAAGACCCTCAAAATATCCAACTCTTTGATAAGAGTTATAATCCTAATAGGATCAGTACATTTTTCATATATTGATATGTTATCAACTTACGTACCAGAAAAAAGATATCTTACCATCGTTCTTTTCATCCTACCAAATTAATATTTATACGAGTTAACAATGTTTCTAGTGATTTAAACTAGTAAGATTAGTGCTAATGGTCAATCTGATTATAGTAATATATGTTATTAATGCGTATGAGTTCATGTTTATAGTTTAATGTCAGTAGTCAGTCTTTCCACTCATGTCTATCATTTGTTTCTTAAGTCCTTTTCCCCAACAACGTCACACAATTTTAATTAATTACTCATTTTATCCCACTAATTTTTTTCCCGGTTAGGAGAGTACGCACACATCCACACATGCCCTCTATGTGTCTCAAACCCTCACCTCCCTTTGGGAGGAGAGATTATGCCACCTGGGCCAATGGCTGATCTCACTATATTTATTCACTGCCACCAATTATCCTTTACTAAGACATATTTATTTGAGTTTTTTTTTTTTTTTTTTTTTAAATTCATTTCATAATTTCCATATCTCTAACAAGAGCTAGTGGATACTACTCTTATCTATGCATCTTTCTTTCAACTCCACCAATGACCAGACACTACCGACTAAGGTTATTCAACCCAATTGAAACCCTCAATCCTTCACAATATCAATATTCATGTCAACCATGAATGTAGAGTGCATGTAAACTCACCACCTATGATTACCAAGCACTTGAACCCACCCATTAAATCACTTTTGTGTATATAATTATACATTTGTCAACTCACAGTACTGATTCTATATTTATTGTGGTTTGCTAGAATGTAAAATCAATGCACATGTTCAAATGTCTACTAACTCAATTAACTGATATTATGATCTACTATATACTAACAACAAATCAAATCCTAATCTAAAGATAGGATTTGTCTTAACAAAATTGAACTCTAGATTAAACAAAATACATCCATTTACACAATGTTATTGCACTGATTTAATTTCTAAAAGAATGTACAGGAATATTTACTTATCAAAAAATAAGTATTTAGTTACTTATCTAAAAGTAAGTATTTTTTATATTAAAACTTATATTAAAAATAAAAAATAAAGAATATTTGTAGTATTTTTTTTATGAATATTTACACTCACAAATTTGTGATTTACAATTAGGGTTTCTTTGAACCGTAAAAGGGTATTAACGTCCGATGTTAGACTTAATCTTAACCTTTCGCTTTCATTAAATCTCGACCTTTTATTTGTTTACTTATTATTTAAATATGGGATTACGTGTGAACAAGAGCATGAAACTACCGCCAATGGAAAATTAGATAGATTGACTAGTTTTTTGGGTTATCACACACTGAAGTTACTTTAAATATATATTGACTATTTTGCAAAAGCATTAGAGGAAAGTAATCTTACATCATACTTTAGGAGCACAAAATGTGAAGCGCATGCATAGACAACCTGCTTCTTGGATTCAGACCAATATATTGCCTGAACAAATTGAAATAAAACAAAAATGATTAAAAATTTCCATCTAAAAGACAATATAATGGAAGCAGCAAGAGATCAATGTACGACAACTTACTTTGACTTTGTCATGAAAAGTCCGTATCAGCTGGTTTTTATCCCAATCATGGAAATGTACTTGGAATTTCTCACATATTGTGAGCAAAGGCCCACCAAAAAGTCTTTTAATGAGTTTACTGGCTATTACTTCGTTGTCTTCACTTTTGAATTCTCTATATCTTGTTGCTCTCTTTTCCTGATAAGGATCATTAGAATAACTAAGTCCATATTAACCAGGAAATTAAACAATAGCGTATGATTGGAATATACATTTCAATATAGGCCCAAATCATATAATAGGATAAAATAGAGTGTTTATCTAATGTGCTGGAAGTGCAGGAAACATACAAGAGCATATTATAGGATAAAATGTTTAGCAAAAGTGCTGGGAATATACATCTCGGTAGACAGTGTTATCTTGAATAAAGATTTGTCAAGCTGGAAAAATTAAGAGTTTACCATTTGTAAGAAGTTTGAAATCCCCTATGTTATTTAAAGGGTTCCTGAGATTACACACCTGAAAAAACTGATTGAAGATTTTGATCATGGGAGAACTTTCTATAACAGCATACTCTCTACCTGAAGACTAGATAAAATCTAGCACTGCCCCGGACGATGTCTTCACCCAATCTGGAAATGAATGTATTTCGTATTGACCATTGGCCATGAGAACCACATGCCTTCCATTGGGGCTGTGCTTTATCATCTTCGGACAGAACATAATTGAGATACCAATTAAACCCAGTCAAACACAAATAAATACCAAAATAAAATATCTACCACAAATGAACGCACATGCAGAGAGAGACTGCAGAGATGCTCCTCCTCCTCCTCCAAACACATTATGCCTCCATCCAAAACCTTAGAAATAAGAAAGGGTAATGTTAGCTTCCCACGTAAGCTAACTAACCCAAGACATTGTTGGGATCATAAACCTTACAACAAAATTTTGTGGGCATTTTCGTACAAAATGTGATTTTTTTTTTCTTTTCATTTCAACTTTATGCATACACCATGGGTAAATTATACAGTATTAAATTCACCAGATATATTTAGGCCCATATATTACTAATGGGTGCTCTAGGTGCATATAGTGAGGCTAGTATGCAGAAAAAAAACGATCACAGTGCATTGAACTGAATTGCTAATACGTTAATAACATTAAAAGACTGTATTGGTTGATATTGACATATCATTGCTAGAGTAATTGACACTAGACTACTAGAGCCATTGAACATATATTCTCAAGATGGGATCCACATTGAATAAATACTTCAATTAGATTTAGTTTGATCACAGAAATGTGGATCCAATGAATTTAGTAAAGTGATTGCTAAAATCTCTTTTTTTTTTTTTTTGGGTATGTATGTATTATAATTTGATATATTATGAAATAATTTTTGATAAAAGATTAATTTGTGATCAATCTACATAAATCAACTAACAAAAGGGACTAGAAATTAGTTAAATGATAGACAATTTATTCCTTATTGACACCACCTATTCCAATACCACAATATATTTTTTTCCTGACAATGGTGGTGTGGACCTCTTTAGAACACTCCATAATCCACTACTTTGATGATATATGAGCCTTTCAATGACTTTTTAATACAAATCATAATTATATAGACACATAGCTGTGTTGGGTAGCATTGATTTTTTGCTTTGAAATTAAAACTGAAATTGAAAAAATAAAATAAAAAATTTCAATTTCAAAACATCAATTTCTTACTACCAAACATAACATCAATAAATTTTGTTGTAAATTTCACAAGATTTAGTGTGGAAATTCTACACTGACACACACATATATATACACTAGTAAGAGGTTCACTTTTAAAACGAAAAATGAACACAAATTGCAAATAACATTAACTTTCTTTAAATAAAAAAATGAAACAGAAAATAAAAAATCAACATAAAACCACTCACTCTTTGCCCAAACCACCCATTCCCATTAGCTTCTCATTTTGCAAGAATCAAACCTATATTAAAAGTACAAAATTTTATACATGTAAGAGAATTGCTGAAATATATGGAAAGTTGAAATATAAATATTTTAAAGCATTTGAATTCACAACTTACCAAAAAAAGAAAGAAAAAAAACCAATTTGCATTTACAACTTATCCTAAAATCAAATGAGAACAATAGAATAACAGAAAGTAAAAGAATTAATTTGAACCTAAAAAAATGGCTTCTTGTCAATTGATGTGAAAGCATGCAAAACCTAAACAAATAATATATCAGCAGAGATTATAAAATTAAAAGATAGAATAATAGGAATTAGAAACCTGATGATTGAGGAGACATGGCTAACCTTTGAAATCGCAACAACTAAAACCAGCTAATAAAGACTACCAAAGTTCCTTTTCTTCTTTCTCTCTCACCTACACATTATTTTTAAAAAAATCAGCACGAGAATTTTGGGTTACCAAGAAATTACTTCAAAAAAAAAAAAAAAAATCGCCCCACCAGGTTAAATCCCCCTAATCCTACCATAATCCCATTTGATAATAATAAGGACAAATTACACTGACCAACCTGAGGTTCGGTCAACTAAGACGTCTCTCCTTGTTTTTTGACAACTAACAGTATTATATAGTATTGTGTTCCTAAATTGAAGTAAATATATATATATATATACACAACCAACAGTCTCCGGAAAGACATCTGAAATACCAACCGAAGAACATTAACATCCATTAACAAAACCTAAAAATTGAAATAAATCTTACCGAATTTGAAAAAGATTATGAATCCGTGGTTGATTACAGAGAAGTCGGTTGGTTGTCGGTTACTCGGTTGTACCCGAGTGAGACAGATCTTCAATTTTGGTGTGAACTGAGAATGTGGGGGTGTAGGCTGTGTAGCTAAGCCAGCAATGGCGGCGCTGAGAGTGAAGAGGGAGCTTTAGTTTTAGGGTTGTGTGGGGGCTGGGTTTATTTGTTGAGCAATACTTTCATGGAGTATGAAATTTCATTCTCCCTGCATACGTGGCCACGTGTTGTTACACAAAGTGTTCAACACTAAAAATGGGCAAGGGGTTAAATCCGCTTCCCCTTGTCAGTTTCTCAATTAGATCCGTTAATGGAGCCAATCTTTATTCAGATCCGATCCGATCCGATTCGATTAGTCGGATATGGATTAAACAAAAAATTCGATAATTCGGTTACGATTCGAATTCAATAATCCATTAGCTTAACAAATCAGATATGGATTATACTGATCCGATCCGATAAAAATCCGATCCGATCCGATCCGATTGAAATTATATATAAAAATAATATATATATATCAATACTCCTATTACAATTGTATTAGAGGTAACCCAAAAATTCAAAATAATGATAATGTTATATACAAAAATTGTGATATTTTTATCCACATGCTAATAAATCTTTTAGTGCACATACTAATAAAATCATACTCTTTATAATTATATATGTTAGTAAATATTAATTTAATCTGATTTCGAATCCGATCCGATCCGAGTTTGAGCTAAATAGGATATGGATTGGGACATTTAGTCCGAAAACCCGTCAGTGATCCAAATCCAATAATCCGTTTGCTTAACAAATAGGATATGGATTTGATCGATCCAATCTGAATCCGATCTATTGACAGGTCTACTCTCTATAAGAGAAAGAAAGAAAAGAATAATAATAAAAGTACCATCTTACCCTTTTTTGTAGGGTTAGGGCAAGTCATTTTAGCCTCCTAATCGCCTCCATCGTTCTCTAATCTCTCTCTCTCTCTCTCTCTTTCTCTCTCCAATTGGAAACTACAAAATCTACAAGAATCAGAACATCAAAACTCATATCTCGACATATCATTTAAGATTCCAAAAATCAAAACCAAACTATATACTTTCAACCTCCCAGTCGCATCCATCGTTCTCTCTATCTCTCTCTCTCTCCAACTGGAAACTACAAAATCTACAAGAATCAGAACATCAAAACCCATATCTCGGCATATCATTTCAGATTGTTCCAAAAATCAAAACCAAACTATATATATATATAAGCCTCTCCAAACTACATATATATATATATCGGTTTTTACATATATGTATATCTCCATCTCTCTATTCTCGTATGGGTTTTGTTTTAAATTTTTTTCTAAAATCAACTATTCAAGGTCTGTAATTCTTGTTTTGCAACTCTCTCTTTCTCTGCAACTGCAAATTACATATATATATATCAGCCTCCCTAATAGCCTTCATCTCGTGAAGAAGCCTCCCCCTCTCTCTTTTTCTGCAACTATAAAAATCAAAGCTTCAGCCGGCTGTCTCTCAACTCTTTTGCCCCTTATGTAATTTGCTCCATTTCTCTCCAAATCCCTCCAAATCTTCTCAAAATTTGAAGGGTTTGGTTTTACTGGAGAGATTTGGAGGGATATGTTATCCATCCAAATCCTTCCCAATCCTTTCTTTTCTCTTATATTCCCTCCATCCAAACACACTTAACACTATTCTTTCCTTTCTTTTCTCTCCAAATCCCTCTAAACCCCTCAATCCAAACGAGGCCTAAGAGTGAGAAGAAGAAATCCAAAATTGAGTAAAGAAAAAAAAAAAAAAAAAAAAAGACCAGCAGCGAGAGGATAAAAAACAAGATAAAGAACAAAGAAAAAAGTGAGAATGTACGATGCAGTGAAATTATTAGTTTAATCATTCTTTTTGTTGTTATTTAAATCGTAGGGATAACTTGATTGAAATTCCTTTAATTAAATAAAACATAAATTTTGAATTTGAAAGTTAATTTTTTTTTATAAACATAAACAAGGCAACTCTTTAGCCAAAATATTGATGTTTTGGAGAGAAAGTTGCGAAGTGAATTGCATTGTAATGTATTAATTATATTTAATTTCATTTAATTACTTTTATTCATTCAATTTGAATAACTTTGGAAGGGTAGTTTGAAAGTTTTGCAGATGTTTTAGAAAAATAAAATTTAGATTAATTAATATATGCATTCTTGGTATTTTAATATAAATCATCTTTTCTTTTTAGGGATTTTTACCAATACATGGGCTTAAGGCCCAAATACTACAATGTAATGAGGTCAAACTTTGGCTACAACTAGAAAATGAAGGGACCGCATAAACTTTTTTTTAAAAAAGGAAGGACCACACAAAGTATTTCTATAAAATGAACTTATATTCTACTTTGGACCACACAACAATTTATATTACTATAATGACCCAAAACAATATACAATTATTACATAAAAAAACCTTAGAACATGAAAATAATTTACGAAAAGATCCTTGAACCGAATATTTTTTATAAATATTTTTTAATTTTTTCACAATAAATTTAAAGTTCACCGTAGATTAGTATGGATTTATAGACTTCTTTAGACAAAAGATCTTATATATAAATTAAATTTAACAAAACTGTATAGACTCTGATACTAAAATTAAATCGAATGCTACCAAGATAGAAACATGCAATAACATAGAGATAAATTTAACAATTAAATCACATAAATGACTGCCGAACCTGATAACGCTCTGATAACGCCCTATAAAAACGCCTGAACACTGGCAAGAACGGGCCAACAAGCCAACAGTTCAAGTCAATTCACAGAAGAAATTGCTAAATTAAAACTAAGGCTGTTTGTATTGGTTGGATGCAAGAAAATTCTAGGATCTACACTGTCTAGCTAAATAAAATCTATATATTTGATCTTTTATTGACCGAAATCTTTTGCCCGAAAGTATAGGAAATACTAAATAGAGATAAGAAATTATTAAATAAGAGCAAATTGGATGATTTATTTCATGGAAAATATATACATGAATACATTCTGTTTATACATGGATACACTCTCACAAAATACTTTACAAAGGGAAATGTACTGAAAGAAATCACAAAAGAAACATACTATGAAAACTATGGCTAAAGGCTGAAATGCTCAATGGTTCTAAACTTGATTGTTCTAAACTCGATAATCTTCTCTTGAGTTGAAGGCCTCCTTTTATAGAGTGGTCTGAGAGATGAATCGACGCTTGAGATTTCAGATGTTGCATAGATGGCTGGGATATAAGATGTTTTGGAGATAAGGTTCATTGAATTATTGCGGGGCACCCTTACCTTGACTTATTTCTTTAGAATCTGTTTTTGGTAGAACATGGCTGCTTTTAGATATTGTTGTGCTGTTGCAAATCTGCTTTTAGAATTGCTTTTTATCTTGACACTGTACACTAATGGGGAATTTGCTTTTTCTTTGGATGGTTTTTAGACTTCTGACATATTGGACAAGTTTCTGTCAGTATCGCTATCTAGTAAGATGTCAGGTGAGCTGGTTTCTTCATTTCTATAGGCGAGTTCGTATTGTTCAATCAACATATTTTCTTCATTTATTATTTCTTCAACTTCTGGAGATATCTTAATCTTTGGGGGAGATCGGATGACATAGGGAATTCTAGCTTTGATGAAAATTTTCATATTTACATTATGGTCGAAGAGTCTGAAACTAGGGTTGTAGCTTGAGTTAACCTGTCGATAGGCTTTATAATAAATCAAATGGTCAAAGGTGGCTGAGTCAATATTGTTACGAAAGTTATTTACAAAATTGATATGTCTTGTCAGAGTCAAGACTTCTGTTGGATCAGAATAAATGTAGATTTGATGCTGTCCGAGAATTACAGCTCTATTTTTTACCCATTCTGGAGGAGAGTTGTAGATTTGAAGGAGAATTGGACTTTCTGGCATGTAATTTTGGGTTTGTTTTTGTTCAAAGTTAATGGCTTGGTTTAATCGATTAGGAAGGTTAAAAACTTCTAAAACTTCTAAGGGCATGTCCTTAGGTATGATGATGCTATGAACCATTCCTAATTCTAATAGTTTACTTACGTAACATCTGGTAGTTCTTGTTGAGAAATTAGTCTTTCTGATAATATTAATAGGAGAATAATGTACAACATCTATTTCTAATAGGACTATAGTAGGTATGTAGTTGCCTATTTGTATAAATCGTAAGAAATAATAATAATATCGAGCTCCTTTTGGTAGACTATTGTTTCTGAGGTAGTTTTGGATATCAACTCATTCTTTGAAACCATCAGACTTAGCTTCTTTAAGGATAAGATCATTATATCTTCAGGGAAGAGCTCGACTTGTTATCTTAGGATTTCCCTGTAAGTTAGAGAGAATATGGGTAATAAATTGGCATACTTGGTTTGTAGCTGTAGAAATTAAACTTTCTGAAGATTTTCATCTTCATTAGTCTTTTGTTCATAAATGGTTAGCTCTGTGGGATTTGCTGTTTTATTTTGATAAACTAAATTTAACTTTTTAAAATGGGATATAAACGTCTCATTTTCTTGCTGAAGAGTATGATATGCTTTGTTAGAAGTTACAAAATATTCACTTAAGGTGTTTAAATTTCTGACGATGGATCTATCGGGATTATTTCTAGAAAACCAAATATTATCTAAAATAAATTTTTGGTCTGGAAAAAGATTATGTCTAGCGTGGAACTGTTGAGCTAGGTTTTGGATAATCAAAAGAAGATTAGAAGTGCATGGTATAAGGCTATAGCTGTTGTTGCTACTCTTCCCAATTCCTGCGTAGAAATTAACAATCAATTAGTAAACGAGATAGAATATTTGCTAAGTAATTTTCTTTTCCTTTGACATGTCCAAATATGGGTTTAAAACCTCTTCCAGTAATACAGTCAATAAAGGAAATCCATCTTTTTGCAGACATCCTCTGTTGTTTTGCTTTATTTGCAAATTTAACTATGTTATCACAATTTGTTCTTATAAGAAATTGTTTATTAATGAATATTTGAAATTTTTCAATAGAGTTTGTTACTCCTAAATTTTCTAGATCTGTTGATGGTAAAGTAAATTGTGCTTTATTACAGATTCCACTAGTATGACGACAAATTTGTTCTTCTTCTCGAGAAGATTCTTTTGTCGGTCTTTGAAGAAGTAAACCTGCCCATCCTTGAGCTGATGCATCTGTTTG